CTTCTGCACTTAGAGCATTTCGTACTCCCGGGTTGAAATCATTAAATCATTAATTAGTTAAGTAGGTCTTTTTATTATATACAAAATATACAGTTTAAAAGATCAAACTTAACGAATTAACGATTTAACGATTTTTTTAGGCCATCTATTTTGGCGCATTTTTATTTTCGTTACTGTGGCTTGCTGGCAATTGCTGGCAAACAGCTAAGCTGTAACCAGAAGCCATCGACAAAGGAAAAAATACAGGCCGAGCCAACTCCAGCGAGCATTGAACCAAAGAAAACAAAGCTTTTGCAGACACACCCGGAGGAACAGAATTGGTTGACAGTTTTCACGCCCATTTCAGAGTCGCACTCTTTCATCTAGCATTCTGCCACCTCCTGCCCATAGTTCCACCTGCGCCACCAGCAAAACACGCTCTCGACGACGCAAAGTAGCACCGCCATGAAATTGTTTTTTTCGGTTCTTGGAGAGTCTGCAAAGTCCCGGATCATTTGCGATTCCCTGGCGCAGCTTTCCCCGCCCCCAGTTCCCCCCAGGTCCTTGTCCCCAGTTCCCTGTCCCAAGTCCTGTCCCCAGTTTGATGCCCCCAGTTCCCTGCTCCCAATTCCCTGTCCCAGTTCCCTGTCCCAGTTGCCCCCAGTTCCCTATCCCCAGGTCCCTTTTTTTTTGCACTCGACCCAAAGGCGCTATGTGTGCAGAGGATGCACAAGTCACCTTAGGCTAGTAAAGGAGGGAGATACGAACCAAGCACCAAAACCGGAACCAGAACAAACAACACCAAAACAACAAGCCCAACCCAACCAAAGAGGAGCAAGGTTCGTACCTCAGGTTGGCTGCGTAAGCCAGTGGAGAAGAGTGAAACCAGGTGAAGCGGAGGGGCCACGAATTCTCCTTTGCACTCAGTTCAAACCAGGTTTCTCCTGACTTGGTGTTTTCGTGGGGCTGGGTGTTTTGGTTTCTGGCTGGTTCTGGGGCCTCTGGACTTGCAGCATTAAAGCAACCTTATTAGCCATGAAAGGTTGCCTTCTTCTTGGGTTCGCTGTTGGCAGCAGCAACATTGCTGTTGAAAGCGACCTGTGTTGCCTGCTTTTATCAACTATAGGACTTGCGCACAAGCTTGCATTTAGCTGATTTAGCTCCACTACCATTCAAAAGGTGTCAAGCAAGAGGCAGCAAGACAGTGTCCTGAAGTGACGAGTGCCTAGGAAAAGCGTGTCAAGCAAGAGTGACCTTACTCAGAGACTTCACTCAAGGGGTCATGGTGAAAGATCTACTGGCAGGCTTGGGTGAACATGCCTTCATTTCTACCACGGTTTCATAACTAACGATTATTTTGGCTCAAGTGCCTTGGCCAAAATAGCGCTTGTTCTCTTTAGAATCTCTTTGCCGCGTAGTTCTTTGCCACGTAGTGGCAGCGTCGTATTCATGAAACGTGTTCTTTTTGGCGCTTTAATTCAAAAAAAAAGAGGAACCATGGGGAACCCGTTTGGAACCTAACGTATCCCTGGACCCTGAGACCACAATCAATCAGCGTCAGCGGAATCGAGCACTGTCCCTGCGCATCGGTTTTGGCTCGCTGACCCTGGAAGTCGTTTTGTCGCGTTTGCGCCGGAGGGGCGTCACAGCTCACAACGGCCGCCGCAAATAGCTGTACATGCAAAATTTACTGAACTTCGAGAGTCAGTGGTCGCCATATCACAATTTAGCAACATTCAGCATGTGGCCTTCAAAAATGCTTCAATCTCTGCCGGAAAGGCGTCACACAGCAACCACGGAAGATCATTTGCGCGACTAGCTGTAATGGCATTGGGTAAGTGGTCTTCGAAAGTAAACGGTCACAGTGGCCACCGGTTGTGCAACTAGTTGTAGTTGCACACGCTCTTCGAAAGTTGGAAAGGTTTGTTGGCTGGACACTTCACAAACTGTTGTAAAAAACAAAAAGCCTAATAGTGGTTCTCTCTCTCTCTTTCATTGCGACAGTCTCCAGGGATAGCCCGTGTACAGCCACTTGCCCGTGTAAGCTAGCTACTACCAATCGGTTACTTTAAAGTAATGTCTTCATATAGTTTGGCATGTCACTGCCTCAAACTTGCGCCTCCCTCACATTTGAGTCAGTTAAGCCAAGCCTCACAAACGTGGGCGGCTTTCTGAGAAACTAGAAAGTAACGTGCAATTCACTGAGGATGGAAGTTGATCAGAACGCAAAGTCATTTACGCATAGAAAACACATGCCGGAGCGGAGTTAGGGCCCAAGCAGTTTCCGGCCATAAAAGTTCAGCAGTTGAACCTGTCGTGAGAAAATTGATTCACCGACTATACGTTCCCAAGTTCTGTCAAACATGTTATCGTCCTGCGCTTGAATCTGGATTGCACCGTCTAAATAAAGAATCATCTATATCATGAGTCATGGGTTGTTTCCTGCAAAGACGCTGAGGCTGAGCAGGCCTTTGCTTGCACGGTTTTGAAAAGCAGGCTTGTCACGTCTGTGACAGCCTTCAACGCTGAACTACATCTAAATAGTCCCGCGAAGCATCAGATTAGATCTGAGAGTGGCCCACTTCACTTCTCCACCTGGAACTGCATTTCACAACAAAGATCTCCCTCAAAAACAACCCAAGCCAGAAACACAGTGAGCCCTAGCCTTACTTGCGAGCAACTGGAACTTCTCAGGGCAAAGGTGCAGCATCAATCGTTCGACAAGCTCTCCATCTTTCCTGCCCAAATCTGGAAACAAATGAAGACAACGGAAGAAATGAACGCCTGTGATCAAAGAAGTTCGGGCCGCCCATGCGTCAACCCCACATCCCATGAGCCTGGCCTGGTCTCATGGTCTCAAGCAAAGACTCATCCGTGGGCGTCTTGGTTTGATCGGCGCACACGAAGAGGTATGTAGCTTGCATGTCAAACTGTTGGCCGTACATGCACATCATTGCAGGGTTGTCAGGGACGCCAGGGATGGATGGTGGAGAAAAGACCTGCTCAGCCACTTCTTGGGTCAACAACGCCATGCGACTTCCATACAAGAACCTTAAATTGACAAGCGCGTCCACGGCAAACCTCTCAAATCTCAAAGATGCCATCACACGATATTGACAAGCAAGTCCACAACAAAACCTACACGCCAAGAAACCCGTGGATGCGTGTCTTCGTCTCATCAGCCACCAGAGCCAAGACCTGTGCGCCACCTGCTGATACGTCCTGAATCCTAGCAAAGTTGAACACGAAGCTGTCCTTGACAGGAATGTTCATCACGACCTCCTTTCCAAAATCCTTTCGACACAAGGCCCAAGATTCAACCTTGCCATGCTTGATGGCGCTCACTTCCATGCCATGACGCAAAACCATCATGGCTTTCACCAAAATTCAATTTGGAGGGCCCGAAGACTACTAAGGACGCTGAACTTGCACGGAGGGAACCCGGCTTCTGTACCCTTGAGTTGCAACTAAATAAGTTCAATAACAGGTCAAATTGCAAGGCAAGAAACAGGCCCACAAGCAAGTGTGAACCAGAATGAAAGGAAAGGCATCACTAGCGTTCTGCACTGCTTTTTCTCAAGGCGGAGTTTCGCACACGTTTCCCGCAATCTAGTCGACATTTTCTGCGAGAACAAAACCGGCCTCCATACCTTTCCGCTTAGAGGGGTATTTCTGGCCAGTTGGCAAATCTTTAAAGGTTTGCCAAACCTCACCTTTCAAGTCGCCAGACTGACGTACGCGCTCCACAACCTGGGCAACATGTGACAAGGGGCGCACGCTGCTGATTGGGCTTTGGCTTACGACATGCCCCAGGTTTGATCTTTAAAAAAAATATATATATATATATATAATATATAGTATAGATAGAAATTTAGTTCAGGTTCGACACAGCAGACAACAGGTGGCTTGAATTGTTTGGACAAAGCGAGCCTCCCAATCACCTGCTTTGTATACCTGCGGCTTTGCCTCTTCCGTGCCATCAGCGGGGCTGGGAGCAGGAAGGGTAGACGGATCAGGAGTTGAGGCAGAAGGCCTTCTCATCACAGCAGCGGGTTTCTTGCGCAGCTCGCTGCCACCAGTCACAGCAGAGGGCCGTTTCTTCACTCGAGGCCCTGCGGGTTCCGCGATTGGGCTGGCCTGCATCGTCTCTGCGCTTGGGCTGCGGAAGCGGGGGGTCGGAAACAATTCGCGACGGGTTGCATCTGGTTCAGCCGTTTTTGCTTGTTTCGCGACAGTTGCCTCAGGTAGCTCTGCCCGTCCTGGTTGTTTCGCTACACTTCTTGAATCAGGTTGGGATACTGGGCTCGCAACAGATTGGGACACCTCTGCCTGTCCTGGTTGTTTCTCCGCTGATTGGCATGGTTCTGCCGATTCTGCTGGGCTGCCAACAGGTTGGGGCGGCTTTGGCGGTTCTTTTTTTCCACGAGTACGGACGCCGTGTGGGCGGAGTGCCCAGGTCATCATTGAAGGGGAAGGAAACACTACATGATGAGGGGGAAAAGAACACAAGCAACCCCAAAACCAAGCAAAAGCCCACCAAACAAGAAACCAAAACCAGGAAACCAAAACACCACCAAGGGCCAGAGGCCGGTCATCGAAAAAGCGTTTCCTCTGTACGAGGGTGAGACAATTGAAATAGCAAAACCTAACTGTGTACTAACTATGGGCCTGAATTCACTACGAAAGTCGGTCGGCAAGGTCAGCGCAAGAGCGGAGTGCAGCGGAGCCAATCAAAGGGGCTTCGCCCCACCCACAAAACTGTGACCAGGAGGGCCACTGCATCGTGCGGCGAATGTGATAGTTGGGTGCTTTGCAGGAGCTGCATTGTTTGTTGTCAGCCGGTCTGATCCTTGCCCAGAAAAATCAGTTGTTGCTCTGCCAAAAATGCCGTGGAAAAGGCCCATCTCGTTGTACAACCCCTTCAACTGATTGCACGAACGAGACGAGAGGCATATCGATGGTCAGACAGTGGAGGCAGAGGCAAACGAATGGAGCTTGCTGACAAGGGTGATGCCATCCCCCCCCGAAGGGAGGTCACCTTAGCATTCAAGGAGTGCCAAAGCGGTACTCTCTGTTCCAGAAAGAAAGAGAGGTGCTAAAATGCGAGCATTCTCCTGTTGCATGCAAGGCTCGTGTGAAACCAGTGAAACGTGGACCTATCCTAGCATGGTACTTGCGCCTCTTTGTACAGCAATGGTCATGGCGTGGCTGCTGCAAGGAGAACTAAGGTTCCCCCTGGCAACCTTCCATTACCATTCTCTACCACCCGCCTCTTAGGAGCGAAAGCTAAGGCTCTCATTCCTGCAGGCTCACTGACATATTGATGGTGAGGCCGAAATGATGGCTTTGCCTGAGCTGTTTTGAGCCTGGCTCGCAAAATCGAGACAGCAGAATAGCAGTCCATCCCCACTGTCGTCAGAGCGTTGCCAGTCTAGAGTATGACTTCGTGGAAGTCTTCCCTCCATTGGTCGTTGGTATTTGGCGGCAGGAATCGGAGCCATTGGGGCTTGTCCAATTGCTCGCATTTGTCAAAAGCATTGCCCCGGGCGTAGGTACCTCGCCATGTTGTGCTTTTCCCTTTTTTACGAACTGTTCGAAGCTGCGTGCAACCTGCAAAAGCACGCCTCGCGATGTAAAGTAGGGATGATGGGATGCAGACTTCTTGCAGCGAGGTACATTTGAGAAAGGCTTCTTGCTCAATGATTCGTAAATTTTGGGGAAGACTGAGTTGTTGTAGCTGTGAGCAGTGCGCGAAAGTTGTGCCCAAAAGTTCACTGACACGCGTTTGGAACAAATCCACAGTTTGCAGCTGCTGGCAGCTCACGCACGCGGCCGTCCCTATCCTGTTAAAATCTGACGGCAGATAGAGTGCGACGATGCCTGCTTCCAGGAAGCAGCAGTCAGGCAGACTTCGGTTCAGATATGTAGGACCGCGCCCTTCCTTACCCAAGTCGAGGCGCTGTAGGGCCGTGCATCCTTGAAACACACGGGGCCGCAATTGTGCTTGGGGTGCGAGTATATTGCCAGGGCACTGCGTCACTCCTATTTGTGTTAGGGAGCAACACTCCTCAAAGACCTTAGCGCCGCAATGTTGGCAGTTAGGAGCAATCACTACTCGTAAGACTCGGCAGCGGCTGAAGGCACCATGCAGCAGGCTGACTACCGTGTCTGGCAGGTGGACCACTTGCAGCTGTCGACAACTTCTCCACGCAGCTTCCCCTACAATCCGCATCCCGGGTTCAACTAGGACATGACGGACTTCCGTGTGAAAGGAGAAGGCTTGCGGTGGGATTTTATCATTCCTACCACGTGGCACTCTGATTGCCTTGGCTTCCCCTTTGAGTTGCCCTTTGTGCGCTGCTTCTACAAAGCATGGCCGAGCAATCACATAGTAGCAATGGTTGGCTCTCAGTTTACTCTGTATGGGGTCTATTGGTGGGTGTCTATTTGCACAAATTGCAACTCACACCCGAGGGTGCTACTGCATCCCAAATAGGGGAGCTCTGCTAATACAGCATTTTCAAAACCCCGAATGCCGGTATGTGCATTCAGATCTACTTCAATGGGCAGCTTCTCTCCAGCCAGCGTAAGGAAGGCGCAGGTCTGTGCCACCATCCCTTCTTCACTGTAGCGAGGGCTGGGCCTAGGCGTAGCTTGAGCCATTAGAGTTGCAGGGTAGGTATGTGTAGTTTCAACCAGCCCTAGTGCAGAGCGTCAGTTGCCATCCACTCCCTTAGCTTATAGAATGCGTGTACCTATGGATTGTACGGTGCACAGGGGCGAAGGTTGACCTGGCCGGACCCGAGCTAAGGCTCGCACCCAGACTAGATGGATTGCGGGAAGACCACAGACTGTTACATTTAGACAGGGTTACTTCAGGCTAAACCAGAGACATATCCCGTGTCCGGAATCATGTGTAGCCATGGCGGCCATCTCATGTCTGGGCATATGGCGAAAGCATTTTCTTCGGCATAAACCCCTCGCCATTTGCGCCGGCCTGGCAACTTGACAAGCCTCTTGAAAGCAGTGCAGTCCAAGAAAGCTCTACTCGCTATATATTTGAGTGAGGGTGGTATAGCAAGTTCTGGTAGGGCCGCACAGTTCATGAAGGCCTTGACTCGAATCGTATGGAGTGTCCTCGGGAGACGAACTTCTTTGAGGCTCGTGCAGTGCACAAAGGTAAATTCTTGTATTTCTTCTATTTGTGTGTTAGAAAGGTCAACATTCTTATGACTGTAAAGCCCTGTGTTAGTGTTAATGTGGCTATCCCTGTAGAGCTGAGGCAACCTAGAGCCAATTCGCTGGCAGTGGATTGCGACGGCAGCTCGCTTGGGGAGGGACTCTCTCGCAGGGTAAATTCGGCAAGGTTGATGCAGCCTCGAAAGAGGTAATGCCCAAACTTGGTGGAGCTGCCAAAAACATCATGGAACCATGGCGGGTGCCTTAGCACCGGTCCTGGGTAAGTATCCGTCCCTCGCGCTGCCTTTCTGGCTCGGAGAGTTTGGACCCATGTCGCAGCAGCTGTCCGGTGAAGTAAAATTAACCTACTTACACACAGTTGGCAGACATTGGTTCAAACACCGACTTTAGGTCATCCTCTATGGAGTCTGCCGAATCTTCCGGAGCCAGCACCCTGAAAGAGAGCCAGTGATGGACTGCCGCTTGGTGCTAACAACCCTGTCGGGCGTGACGTTCAATGTCTCTCTCAGCATTGCAAAGTTCGACCGATTTGCGGACCTGGAGGATCACGTTATGGATTGCCTGGTCTCAGTGACTGACCTCAAAGTGTTCGGGTGTTCGATTGAATTTTTGCATCTGGCCACACAGACCTATTTAGAGGACCCGATTTGGGACAGACTGCAACAGCATAATTTTTAAGGATTGCAGCGAAGTCCTGCCCTCGCAGGAACTCCTAGAAGGGTATCCTATCCACAAAGTTCCACTTGCTGTCCATGTGCCCATGAATCCAGAAAGCGCGGTCCCCGAGGGGCTTTCGCAGGAGTGCCACGCCTGCGTCATGTCAGCATAGAGTCAGGCATTGGAAGCTTGTGAAAACACGGAAGCGAGTGCGACCCTTTTCTGAATCCCGCTCTTGAGCCAAACATAACAGTCGATTTGACTGTATGTCTGTTCGTCCACTCTTCTCTGAAGAGGTCTGACTGGTCACAGTCGTCCAAAACATACTAAAAGTACAAGAAAGCGTCTCCAAACACTCTCAAGCAAAGCTAGGCTATACACAGCTCATCTCAAGCACTACAGCTCTATACTTAGCCACTTACTCCTGCTAAGGTGGTCAAAGCAAACACACTCCAAGGAGGAAGATCCCTACTCAGCTCCAACCCCAAGGACGGAAAACGAAAAAGTTCCACTACAAAGAGGTACTAGGTGATCCACACACTGTACAGACGTGCTACCCACACTTTTCACACCCCTTCTTGGGTCACCTCGTACCTTCTCCTGGTCTTCCTGTCTTCTTCTTCTCTTCAATTCGTTTTTCTCTGAGCAACTAAGGTTCGAGCATCAACTAAGATCTCAACTCCTGTGGTTCAAAAGGTCTCCAGGTGGATCAAACGTCAACGAATCGAGAACAACGAGCTTCAAGCAAGTTCAAATCAAGAGCAACCAATCAAGGATTCAAGGTCCCTCAGACAGCAGGGCTCTAGAGAGCTGCACTGGGCCAGCTCTTCGCCTCTGCTTCTGTCATCACTGGGACCCTGAAACCTCACAAGGTTTCAAGTGGTCACCTGACAGGTCAAGCAAACGAAGATTCCTGAAGACAAAAACCTGTCACATTCCACGCGCCAAAAGCTTCACACAGCATCAAACAGCAAGTGAAAAGGAAACTAGCCAACCCTTGCTAGATACAATCCCTGGGCTACTGTTCGACTTCCACAGCATGTCTCAAACTTCCAAACCCTTTCTCTTCACTTCAACTGCAACCAATCGACTCGACATCATATGTCACACGGTCCAAAGTTCACAGCAATCAAATGCCAATGACATCACTGATTCTCACAGTTCTCAACCCTTGATCTCTTCTCTCGCTGAACTCCTGACCTCATCCCTTTTCATCCTGGCAAGTTCAGACATAGCAAAGCACAAAACTTCAACCCTTCAAGATCACACACGTGCATGCCCTTGACTCAACAAGAAAACTTGAACAAGACATCAGGAAGTTCAAGTGAAGGTCAACTGAAGTTCAAACAGGGTTCAAACTGAATCTCACAAGATCAAATTAAACAACTGCAAATCGAATGTCAAATCCCTCTGAGCAAACCCTTTTTCCACCAAGGTGGGCTGGCCGCGGTCAACAAAAAATGGCCTTTACACTCGAGCTTTGTAGGATCTTACATCCCCTGAAGTCGAGGCATCTTGATCTCTTCAAGATCAGATATCCCCTTGATCGGGTTCCGCCCAAGCCCAGGAGCCGTCGGCTAATCTCACCCTCTTCCAGTATGGTGGAG